GCCACTGCACTCCAGTCTGGGCGACAGAGTGAGACTCCAACTCAAAAAAACAAACAAACAAAAAAAACCAAACACACACATACACATACACACCCAACTGAAGGTGATCATTATGTTACAGGTGAAATGGATTTGCTTGATTGAATGATCGATTTGATTGATACACATGTGAATAGCAGAGCCAGGCACTTAGTAAGCACCACATATGTGTTTTTTTTGTTTGTTTGCTTTTTGGGTTTTTTTTGAGTGGGAGTCTCACGGGAGTCTCACAGCCATTGCAGCCTCGACCCGCTGTCCTCAAGAGATCCTTCCGCCTCAGCCTTCCAAGCAGCTGGAACTACAGATGTCAGTGGCATCCCCCACCCTGGTTCTGAATGCCAAGAATGTCTCTAGAGGTCAGGCAGGGTGGCACCTGTAGTCCCAGCTACACACTACCATGCCCAGCTAATTGTTTTTTTAATTGTAGATATGAGGGTTCACCAAGTTGCTCAGGTTGGTCTTGAACCCTGGGCTCAGGCAATCCTCTCACTTCCACCTCCCAAAGTGCTTGGATTATAGGTGTCAGCCACCGTGTCCGGACTGTGTATTTCATATTATATTATATTATATTATTATTTTATTTTAAGCTGGAGTCTCACTCCATTGCCCAGGCTAGAGTGCAGTGGCACACTCACAGCCACCCCAGCATTAACTTGCTAGGCTCTGGCGATCCTTCCACCTCAGCCTTCCAAGTAGCTGGAACTACAAGTGCGCACTACCACACCTGGCTAATTTTTTTATTTATTATAGAGACGAGTTCTTGCCAAGTTGTCTGGGCTGGTCTCCAACCCGTAGGCTCAGGCAATCCACTCGCCTCAGCCTCCCAAACATGTTTGCTTAGCAAACATGGTGCCTCCTATTACTTGGGATGTTAGGGGGGACCCTCACAATACCCTAAATCTCCCCGGCCTTTCTACTGTGTCCTTGCCCCAAGGAAGCAAAGAATTTAGTGGAGGGGAAAGCTATTAAGCATTTTGTTTTATTTTCTTGAGACAGGGTCTCACTCTGTCACCCAGGCTGGAGTTCGGTGGCTATTCACAGGCACCATCATAGTTCACTGCAGCCTCGAATTCCTGAGCTTGAGCAATCCTCCCCCTCAGCCTTCCGAGTAGCTGGGACTACAGGTGCCACCCTGCCTGACCTCTAGAGACATTCTTGGCTGTCAGAACTAGGGCGGGGGGGACGCCACTGACGTCTGGGTAGAGGCTAGGGATACTGCCAAACGTCCTACAGACAGCCACCCACAAGAAGCAGGCCTCAGGTCCTACGTGCCAACAGTGATTTCCATCTCTGTCTTTTTCTTTTCTTCTTTTCTTTTTTGTGAGTAGGAGTCTCGCTGTTTCACTCAGGTTGGAGTACAGTGGCACACTTATGGCCACTGCAGCCTCGATCTGCTGGTCTCAGGTGATCCTTCCACCTCAGCTTTCCAAGTAGTTGGAACCAAAGGCATGCACCATCGTGCCCAGCTAATTTTTTGATTTATTGTAGAGACAAGATTTCACCAAGCTGCCCAGGCTGGTCTCGAACTCTTGGGCTTAGGCAATCTTCTCACCTCGGCCCCCCAAAGTGCTGGGATTACAGCACCCAGCCCTGAGTCTTGGTTTTTGTTGAAACCCCAGACCCCCAAGAAGAGACCTTATCTGTGTTATTCTCTGCTGTGTCCTCAACCACATCTATGCAATAGGTGCTCCATTTATGTTTCCCAGGCCTGGCATATAGTAGATGCTCAATAGATGCTTATTTTCACCCAGCATGCAGTAGGTGCTCAACAAATGCTTGGTGGATGCATGAACTTAACCAGGGCTCCTCCCTCCCCACTCTGAGGGCCATTTCTCTCTTGTGGTTGATACCCATTCAGCTGCCACCCATAGCCCAGGAGGATGGGCACCCTGGGTGGGAGTCAGGTCCCACTCACCGATGTACTCCTCCACTTGGACGTAGCCATCATGGTTCTTGTCCAGGTCCTCCAGGGTTTCCTGGGGAAAAAGGGGCATTGAGGCTGGGAGTCGATGCCCTTGGCTTCTAGGGGAGGCTGGGACCCAGGGGTAAGGGTTTTGGGCTCTCTCGGGGAATTCAGCTCTGCACAGTCATGAGAGCAGGTGGCAAAACAGTCTTAAAGGTGGCCTGTGGGAAATTGGGGGGTTTTCTGGGGTGTCATAATGATGCAGACACTACCAGCATGTAGTGGGCAACAGTCAGGGGACCCCAGTGTCCAGCGATGCACAGGCTCGCTCCACACACAGAGAGCTGTCCTGTGTTCCCAACAACCTTCTCCTACCCCAGCAAGCACTCGTGAAGTGAAGCGGGGAACCTCTTGACATCAGGCAGAGCCTAGACCCACCCTGCTTTGTGTGTAAACACGGTGCACTCTGGGGATCATTTGACACCTCTGCTCCTTGGGTTTTTTATTTTTTATTTTTTGAGTTGGAGTCTCACTGTGTCGCCCAGGCTGGAGTGCAGTGGCACACTCACGGCCACACCAGCATCCACCTGCTGGGCTCCGGCGATCCTTCTGCCTCAGCCTTCCAGGTAGCTGGAACTACAGGCGTGTGTTACCGCGCCTGGCTAATTTTTGATTTATTGTAGAGACGAGGTCTTGCCAAGTTGCCCGGACTGGTCTTGAACCCGTGGGCTCAGGCAATCCACTCACCTCGGCCTCCCAAAGTGCTGGGATGCCAGGCTGAGCCTCCGAGCCCAGCCTGCTCCTTGTTTTGTGTGTGTGTCTTGAGCAAGATGGCTTCTGTCCCTCCTTTAACATCCAAACTCATTCAATATAAGACAGTGCAAGTGACCAGGTGTGGTGACTCATGTCTGGAATCCTAGCAATTTGGGAGGACAAGGAGGAAGGGTTGCTTGAGTTCAGGAGTTTGAGACCAGCCTGGCAACACAGTGAGACCTCATCTCTACAACAAAATAAAAAAATTAGCCAGAGCCAGGCTCGGTGGCTCAGCCTGTAATCCTGCACCTTTGGGAGGCTGAGGTGAGTGGATTGCCTGAGCCCGTGGGTTCGAGACCCACCTGGGCAACTTGGTGAGACCTCATCTCTACAATAAATCAAAAATTAGCTGGGCGTGGCAGCGCGTGCCTGTAGTTCCAGCTACTTGGAAGGCTGAGCAGAAGGATCGCCGGAGCCCAGCAGGTCGAGGCTGCGGTGGCCGAGAGTGGCCACTGCACTCCAGTCTGGGCGACAGAGTGAGACTCCAACTAAAAAAAAAAAAAAAAAAATTAGCCAGGCATGGTGGCACGTGTCTGTAGTCCCAGCTACTCAGGAGGCTGAGGCGGGAGGATCGCCTGAGCCCAGGAGGTCAAGGCTGTGGTGAGCCGTGATCATGCCACTGCACTCTAGCCCAGGTAACAGAGTAAGAACCCAATGCAAAAAACAAAAACAAAAAGACAACGCAGGCATCTGACACTATGTCTTCTAGCAAAGTCAAGCGACAACATTTTTGAATTGACAGATGAAATGCAGTATGTCCCGCCAGGTATGGTGGCTCATGCCTGTACTCCCAGCATTTTGGGAGGCAGAAGCGAGAGATTGCCTGAGTCCAGGGGTTCGAGACCAGCCAGGGCAACATGGTGAGATCTCGTCTCTACAATAAATAAAAAAATTAGGCTGAGGCGGAAGGATCGCCAGAGCCCAGCAGGTCGAGGCTGTTGTGGTGGCTGTGAGCGTGCCACTGCCAGCATGGAGTAGGCAAGAGTCAGGGGACCCCAGTGTCCAGCGATGCACAGCCTGGGCAACAAAGTAGGACTTCGACTCAAAAAAACCCCAGTACACCCAATTATAGTTGAATTTCAGATGAACAAGTAATCATTTAAGTATGTTTCACACAAATATATATCTCTACAATAAATTTTAAAAAATAAGATTTATTTGAAATTCAAATGTAACTCATCCTCTGGTATAAGTCCCAAATCTTGTCTGGAACATAATTATACTAAAACTTATTTGTTTTTTATATTATGTGATGCTATATTCTTTTTTTATTTTTTTTGAGTTGGAGTCTCACTCTGTTGCCCAGACTGGAGTGCAGTGGCCGCTCCCGGCCACCGCAGCCTTGACCTGCTGGGCTCCGGCGATCCTTCCGCCTCAGCCTTCCAAGTAGCTGGAACTACAGGCGTACGCTACCACGCCCAGCTGATTTTTTTATTTATTGTAGAGATGAGGTCTCGCTGCCCAGGCGGGTCTCAAACCCAGGGGCTCAGACAATCTACTCACCTCAGCCTCCCAAAGGCACGGGATTACAGGCTGAGCCACTGAGCCCGGGTGCTATATTCTTAAGTCTGGTACAAGCAATACTTACACAATGAAATTCCTGTTATCTATTTTAAGTGACTTTCCTTCAGCGTGTCCTTTCTAGCACAGTTAAAATGGATATTCACACCTTGAAATCCTTTATGTGGGTAGGTGACACTATCCACAAATGTGAGAAAAGATAGCAGAGAGTTTAGACCAGGGCTCAGCAAACCCTGCAAAAGGCCAGGTAGTAATATTTTTGACTTTGCATGCTGTTCAGCCTCTGTTGCAACAACTCAGCTCTGCAGTTGTGTGAAACCAGCCACAGGCAATATGGAAGCAAATGGGCATTGCTGTGTGACAATAAAACTTAATTTGCAAAAACAAGGCATGGGCTGGATTTGGCCTGAGAGCTGCAGTTTGCAGAGGCCCCTGAACTCAACTGCCTGGGTTCGAATCTAGGTTGTGTGATTTCCTGTCTGGGTGATATCAGGCAAGTCACTTCACCTCTCTGTGCCTAGAGGTTCTTTTCTTGTCTATAAAAGGAAGATGAAAGCCCTCCCCCATAGGGCTTTGACAATTAAATCAATGTGACAGAGATAAAGGCGCCCAGCACACAGGACATGGGCATCTTTATGCTGCATTCAATCAGGGTTTATGAAATAACATCAACTCAGGAGAATAAAGAGTTGTTACAACATTATCTGCTATGCCAGGTGTGGTGGCTCATGTCTGCAAACCCAACAACTTTGGGAAGCTGAGGCAGGAGGATTGCTTGAACCAACCTGGGCAACGTAGCAAGAACTCATCACTACAAAAAAAAAAATTAAGCCGGCTCGGTGGCTCAGCCTGTAATCCCGTGCCTTTGGGAGGCTGAGATGAGTGGATTGCCTGAGCCCACGGGTTCGAGACCCACCTGGGCAACAAGACCTCATCTCTACAATAAATCAAAAAATCAGCCGGGCGTGGTAGCGTGCGCCTGTAATTCCGGTTACTTAGAAGGCTGAGGCGGAAGGATCGCTGGAGCCCAGGAGGTCGAGGCTGCGGTGGCCGGGAGTGGCCACTGTACTCCAGTCTGGGGGACAGAGTGAGACTCCAACTCAAAAAAAAAAAAAAAATGATCCGGGCGTGGTAGCTCGTGCCTGTAGTTCCAGCTACTTGGAAGGCTGAGGCAGAAGGATCGCCGGAGCCCAGCAAGTCGAGGCTGTGGTGGCCGGGGAGCGGCCACTGCACTCCAGTCTGGGTGACAGAGTGAGGCTCCAACTCAAAAAAAAAAAAAAATATATATATATATTGACTGGGTGTGGTAGCATGTGCCTCTAGTCCCAGCTACTTGGAAGGCTGAGTCAGAAGGATCGCCTGAGCCCAGCAGGTCAAGGCTGCAGTGGCCGTGAGTGTGTCTGGGCAACAAACTGAGACTCTGACTTTAAAAAGTCTAGAAATATCCAACATAACTGCAAATCACACCCCCATTGACCCAGCCATTGCACTGCATAAGTTTTGTCCTGCAGCTCTACTGACACATGTATGTAAAGTGACACGATATGAGTTCAAGGTTACGCTGCACTCTTTGTAATGACAGTGGACAGGAATCAGCCCCATCAACCAGCAACAGAGCTAGTTCAATCAATCACTGCAAAGCAGGAGAGGAATACCACACAGCTGTAAAAAAGGATGAGACACTGGGTGCGGTGACTCATGCCTGTGATCCCAGCACTTTGGGAGGCAAAGGTGAGAGGGTTGCCTGAGTCTAGGGGTTCGACACCAGCCCGGGTAATTTGGTGAGACCTCATCTCTACAATAAATCAAAAAATTAGCTAGGCGTGATGGCACGCACCTGTGGTTCCAGCTACTTGGAAGACTTGAGAGGGAAGGATCGCCTGCACCCAGCAGGTCAAGGCTGCAGTGGCCATGCGTGTGCTACTGCACTCCAGTCTGGGCCACAGAGCGAGACTCTGACTCAAAAAACCAAAAAAATAAATAAATAAAGGATAAGAATGGTCTTCATAGATGCACATGGAACAGTCTCAAGGATGCATTGTGAAAAAGCAAGGCCGGGCTCGGTGGCTCAGCCTGTAATCCCATGCTTTGGGAGGCTGAGGTGAGTGGATTGCCTGAGCTCGCAGGTTCGAGACCTGCCTGGGCAACTTGGTGAGACCTTGTCTCTACAATAAATCAAAAAAACTAACCGGGAGTGGTAGTACGCGCCTGTAGTTCCAGTTCCTTGGAAGGCTGAGGCGGAAGGATCATCTGAGCCCGGCAGGTCGAGGCTGTGGTGGCCGGGAGCGGCCACTGCCCTCCAGTCTGGGCGACAGAGTGAGACTCCAACTCAAAAAAAAAAAAAAAAAGAGTGAATATATGCATGCTTTTGCTTCCATGATAACAATAGTAAAAACATCAGGTTCATTCCACAGGCTGATTTTATAGTTCATGTATTAACTGATTTGGTCCCTATAACAGCCCTTGATGCAGGGTCCATTATTGACACCACTCCATCACTTACAGATCAGGAATTAAAGTCCAGAGAGGTGAAGTAAATTGCCTAAGGTCACACAGCCATGAAGCGCCAGGTCTGGGAGTTGAACTCAGGCCTTCTGGCTCCAGAGTCCCTGATCCTAACAGCCTTCCCACAGACCCTTGGAGAAGCTCTGGAAATGGAGACACAAGAAAGGGACTGCTTGTGGGGATGGGACAGAAAGGTTGGGTGGGGGAAAAAGGAGAGAGATATTTTTCTTTCTTTCTTTCTTTTTTTTTCTGTTTTGTTTTTTTTTTTGAGTCAGAGTCTCACTCTGTCGCCCAGGCTGGAGTGCAGTGGCCGCTCCCTCCCAGCCACCACAGCCTTGACCTGCTGGGCTCAGGTGATTCTTCTGCCTCAGCCTTCCAAGTAACTGGAACTACAGGCACGCACCACCACATCCAGCTAATTTTTTACAATTTTTATTGTAGAGATGAGACTTCACCAAGTTGCAAAGGCTAGTCTCAAACCCCTGGGTTCAGGCAGTTCTCTCACCCTGGCCTCCCAAAGTGCTGGAATTATAGGCGTGAGCCAATGCTCCTGGCCAAATATCGGCTTTTAAAATAATTTGTGCAAAGTTGAGGATAGCAGAAGTGAGTAAAAACTCCTTTCCTTTTAAAAAAACAACAACAATAAAAAAAGAGTGAGCCCTAAGCCGGGCTCCGTGACTCAGGCTGTAATCCCACGCACCTTTGGGAGGCTGAGGTGAGTGGATTGCCTGAGCTCGTGGGTTCGAGACCCGCCTGGGCAACTTGGCGAGACCTCATCTCTACAATAAATCAAAAATTAGCCGGGCGTGGTAGCGCGCGCCTGTAGCTCCAGCTACTTGGAAGGCTGAGGCGGAAGGATCACCAGAACCCAGCAGGTCACGGCTGCGGTGGCCGGGAGCGGCCACTGCACTCCAGTCTGGACGACGGAGTGAGACTCCAACTCAAAGGAAAAAAAAAAAGTGAGCCCTAATGTATACTGTGGACTTTGGTAACAATGAGGTGTCAATCAATGTTCATCGCAGAACAGATCTGCGGGGATGTGGATAGTCGGGGAGGCTGCACGTGGGGGAGGTCTGGGGGCTTATGGGAAATCTCTCTACCTGCCACTCAAGTTTTGCTGTGAACCTAACACTGCTCTAAAAATAAAGTCTATTTGAGAAGAAAATAAAAGAAAATCCTTTCACTGCAGAATTGAGCAGATGTTGTGGAGTGGGGCACAGTGACTGGAGTCCCAGCTACTTGGGAAGTCAAGGCTGAGGGGTGGCTTGAAACAGGAGCTCAAAACTGGTTGGGGCAATACAGTGAGACCTTGTCTAAAGAAAAGGAAAGGAAAGGAAGGGAAAAAGAAAGAAAAAAAGGAAGGGTGGGAGGGAGGGAGGGGAGGGGAGGAGGAAGGAAAGGCAAGAAGGAAGGCAGGCCAGAGCTGGTTTTGGTCAAACGTTATGGAGGAATACTACTGAGAGGAGGCCCAGTGGGCGTGGTCTCTGAATGGCCACGCCACGTGTGGGGTTGGTCTTCTCCTGGGTTCAGCCAGAACCGGGATTCCCCGAGGCTCTTCTGGGGATGGGCTTACTGGAGGACAGGCCGGGGACCTGGACCCCACGTGAGCATGGGGAGCAGGAGGGCAATGAGAAGTGAGTAGACACGGGGTCGGGCAGTGGATCCGGGCAACGTCCCCCTCCGCGGATCCGCGTTTGTGGCCTGGGCTCCCCGGGGAAGACACTGGACCACCCGTGACCGTCAGCCCCCCGTACTGGGAGGCTGGGCCTGGGATCAGAAACCGGGGTCCCGGGACGGTGTGGGAGGTGGGGTCCTCTGGCCCTCACTCACAGCTATCACGATGTCCCGCATATGAGAGAAGTCCTCGGGGTGCAGGAAGGCTGTCAGCTCCTCCCGAGTGGCCATCGAGTCCCCGTCCTGGTCGGCCACCCGGAAACGCCGCTCATCCCGAGCCAGCATCTTCTTGTAGGTCTCTGCGTCCTCCACGTCGTGGAACTCTTCACCTGAGGAAGGACATATCTCCGTGAGATGTGCTTTAGTGGAGGCAATGCCAAGCAGGTAGAGAGAAAAGACAAAGAAGTCTTGGCCAGGCCAGGTGGCTCACGCCTGTAATCCCAGCACTTTGGGACGCGGAGGCGAGAGGATTGCCTGAGTCCAGGGGTCCGAGACCAGCCTGGGCAATATGGCAACACCTTGTCTCTACAATAAATCAAATTAGCTGGGCGTGGTAGTGCACGCCTGTAGTTCCTGCTACTTGGAAGGCTGAAGTGGAAGGATCACCTGAGCGCGGTAGGTTGAGGCTGTGGTGGCTGTGAGCATGCCACTGCGTTCCAGCCTGGGCCACAGAGGAAGACTCCGACTCAAAAAAAAAGACTCCAGTTCAAAAAAAGAGAAAGAAATCTAACTCGGGGAAAGGAAAACTTCTGCCAAGTTAAGAAGGAATATGTCAAAATTTACATATATAATGTATGCACATAATTTGTTGTATAAGTTTGTAATATCTAAGCTATATCATATAATATATACGAGCTAACTTTTATTTTAATTTATTTTATTTATTTTTGAGTCAGCATCTCACTCTGTCACCCAGGCTGGAGTGCAGTGGCACGTTCACAGCCACCACAGCCTTGACCTGCTGAGTTCCGGTGATCCTTCTGCCTCAGCCAGGTAGGTGGAACGACAGGCATGTTCCACCATGCCCAGCTAAGTTTTTGATTTATTGTAGAGATGAGGTCTTACCACATTGCCCAGGCTGGTCTCGAACTCCTGGGCCCAGGCAATCCTCTCCCCTCTACCTCCTAAAGTGCTGGAATTACAGGCATGAGCCACCATGCCTGGTGGAGAGGGAATTTTTATCAGAGGGAACAGTATGTGCAGAGTGTAGAGGTTTGAGGAATGTGGTGAGTTCAGGGAAACCACAGAAGATCCATTTGAGGTAGAAAATGCAGAAAAACAACGCTGGGGGGTAGGCAAGTCCTGGCTGAGGATCTGGGTTGTCCCTGGAAACCCCGGGGAGCCATGAGCAGGGAAGGGGCAGAGTCAGCTGGGAGTGTGGAAAGACCCCTCAGGAGACACGTGAGGGACAGACTGGAGGAGGAGGCTGGGGCAAGGGACAGAGAAGGAGAGAGCAAGAGCTGTGGGGTCGGGGACTGGGGCAGGGAGGAAGGACCCAAGCCAGGGGCAGGCTAACTGGCTTTGGTGTTCTCAGGATGCAAGGTCACAGCGATCAGGGATCAGGATGACACGCCATGGAAAGTGGGAGTCTCTGGTCAGGGATCTGAAGTCCTCTAGTCACGGGATCTTAGATAAAAAGCCAGAGGTCGTGCTCTGGGTGCCTCAGAGTGGTGGGGTCCTAAAAGTGGGGAGTCCCTGGGCTAAGGGCTTTGGGGATGAGACGGTCAAAAAGGTCAGGGTCACGGCCTGTGGGGGGAACAGGGTGGGGTCTAGCCGCGTACCGGGCGCGTAGTGGCCATAGGTGGCGTTGCGCAGCTCCTCCCAACCCACGCGCCCGTCGCGGTCCGTGTCGTACGTGTCCCAGGCCGCGCTCACCGAGTCCCGTATGTGCCGCTGCTGCGTGTGCGCGATCCACGAGCGCAGCTCGTCCAGCGACACCCAGCCGTCGCCGTCCCCGGCGCGGTCCATGCGGTCCACGATCCGCCTGCGAGCGGGGGCGGGGCACACGGCAGTCTGTGGCCCCGCCCACGGCCGGCCCCGCCCTCAGCGGAGCCCCGCCCTCAGCGGAGACACCCCCCTAGAGAGGGCTGGCGCTGAGGTCCACGTTCGGCCGCTGAAGCGGGGAGGGGCGCATGCCAATTTCGGGACCGAGCCCACCGCAGGGACCCGCCCCTCGGCCTAGCGTGCGCCCCCAGAGGCCAGCCACGCCCTTTCCGAGGCCCCGCGGATCTCGGCACGCCAAGGTTGCGGGTTCGACCCACGACAGTCCCAGGCCACACCTTCCGCCCTGACCCCGCCCCTCGATCCTGCACGTGCTCCCCCGCTCCGCGGACCGAGTTGGGGTGGGGACAGGGGGCGGGGTGTGCCACCTTCTCATGAGGCCTCCTCACACTTTCCAGCACCGAGATGCAGGATTCGGCACCAAGCGCACCCTGCCGGTGCCCTGTCCCAAGACTGACTCTGAACCGCCAAGGCTACAGCCCCCGAAGCCCGGCAGTCTCAGGCCACGCCCCTCTGGCTCCGCCCCCTCCCC